CTCAAGGGGGCTGGAGGGACATGCAGTGATTTGACTAAGGAGGTTTCTCCCTTTATACATAGTGAAGCCAGAGACCAGAGGAAGAGTGTGTGCTGTGCTGCCAACTGGCTGAAAAGTCAAGAAGCAGGTACCAAAATGTACAGCCATATATGTGTCGCTTAAAAAAACCCTCCCAAGCATAAAACATCACAGACTGTCAGGTCAATCTCTACAGTGGTGCCAAAACCAAGCTGGTATGTCGGACCCACAAGCCATGCCCAGCCATTGCAAATTTTGGCGCAGATACTGGCTGAGATGAACCATGATCAGGTGGTCACTCATTTGGAGTAGCTGGAGAAGCTACAAGATCAGGTGGAAGGGCAAACTCAGGTCCTGGAGCAGCTGGTCGGGGCTGCAACGTTGCCGCCCCCTCCTCCACTGTTGGTGGAAATGCATGGATGGGGGGCCGTGACGACCCTCAGGTCTTCCTGGAAACGTTCCAGGCCACGGCAGAGACATGGCAGTGGCGGAGTGGGGGCGCCGCGGCTGAGTCTGGCGCTGACCTCGCGCGGCAGCTTCACTGACATCTGCTGGGAAGTGCCGGACCGATTGGGCCTGGAGGCTGACTGGGGAGGACCATCCGTTTGTGTGGGCCCGGAAACTGCACAACGTGGTGGCACGGTGAATGCGGGGTCCTGGAAGTGCGGGTCCTTAGAATGAGGTCCCGCCAGCTCTGGAAATTCTTCCCACGGGACATTTCCCACTGGGGCAGTTTCGTGATGACAAACTACTCTCAGGCATTGACCTAGAAATTGATGGTGACGTGCTGCACCCTGAAGCCGTGCAGACCTACCAAACGCTTCATATTACTGAGAGATAAGAGGCGGCTCGTCATTCTTTTTTGGCCATTTTTAGAGAAATGTTGCGCCACATAATACTGACCTATGAATCACCCAAGCCTCAAAAAGGCACCTAACTCAGGGGATGACAGTTTGACAGGCCTTCAATAGCTTTTGCACCATTGAGCCATTAGCTGAAAACTTGACACATGTGCATGATGTACATTATGTAAAAAATATTGAGGAAACTGGACAGGTGGATAGGGAAAAAAAGTGACAGGACCAAAAAACTCTGCAGCAGATGAGCAGTATCTGAAAGTCACGTCCTTATGAAAAAGGCAAAAAAAAAATCCACACCTGACACAGAAGCTGAGAGATGCATCTGGCCCTTCAGTTGATTCATCCACTGAAGCCTCATCAGAACTAGTCTCAGTGGAAGCGTGGCTCTAAAAACGCTGTTGTTGAGGAAGGCAAACAGGGAGAGAAGGCTGAGGTATGCTAAATTTTCTGTTTCTACCTGCATTTCCGCCAGTGGTGTTGGGCATGTTTTCAAAACCGATGGAATTATGAAAGTAGAAAACTACTGTCCGATTTTGATCCCCCATGTGATTCCACCTGGAAAGCATCTGATTGGCAACGGCTTCATTTTTCAGCATCAAAACACACTGTCAATGCAGTAAAAGAATACCTGGATAGAAAGAACCCAGACCTCAAGATTACTGAAAGAGTTATCACTGAAAAAGATATTACTGAAAGATCATCTTGACAGAGAACAAAACAAAAAGAAAAAAGGGACCACTGGTCTAATGGATTCAAATGGAGCATCTCTGGGCCCTACTTTTTCCTTTCATGATGAATGTATCATTTTATCCCCCAAAATCTGTGCACAAGTACAAATTTGGATTCAGAGTCTTTAAAAGTCTTACAAAGAGGTTGAAACTTGCCCTTAACCTTGTCCTGAAGGTAAAAGAAGACAGCAAAACCTAAATCAGTTCAGTTCATATGTATTTATATCAAACCAATTCCTACAACAATCACCTCAATGTGTTTTATATAAGGTATGTAACGTAAAGAATCTACAATATTCGAAAGAAACCCAATGATCACAGGAGCATTTGGTGACAATGGGAAAGAAAAACTCCCGTTTAACAGGAGGCTCACACCAGGCTCAGTGAGGGGCAACCATCTGCCCTGACTGGTTGGGCGTGAGGGGAAAGAGACATTCATTTATTGTGGAAGAGAGCCATAGATTAATAATGGCTAATGATTAGATGCAGAGTGGTGTATAAACACAGAGAGTGAAACAAGGTGAATGAAGAAAAAATGCATCACAGGAAGCCCCTCCCAGCAGCCTAAGCTTATTGCAGTGTAACTAAGAGAGTGCTTAGGGTCACCTGATTCAGCCATAGCTTTATCAAAAAGGAAAGCTTTAAGCCTATTCTTCAAAGTAGAGAGGGTGCCTGTTTCCCGAATTCAAAGTGGGAGCCACAGGAGTGGAGCCTGATAGTAAATCTTCGGAATACTTTTAAATCAAAGCTAGCGTGGCCTCAAAGCATTTTCTGACATAACAAGATTACAGATAGCACACTACCTCCACTCTTGTTCTGTCTGAATTCCTCACCCTCAAGTTTTCTTCACTGATCCCTCACCTGAGATGACAGCATCTCCATTAAGGAACAGGGTGATTCCCACAAGCATGAGGATGCCCAGTGCCAGGATGTAAGGCCTCCGCCGGCCCCACGGCGAGCGGCAATAGTCGCTGGCTGAACCGATGATGGGCTGGAGCAGGAAGCCCAGGATGGGGCTGATCAACCACACCAAGCTGTACAGACTCTGGGGCAGGCCCACACTCAGGAGCACCGGCGTGACAAAAGCTGCCTCCACGGCATAGCAGAATTCCCTTCCAAACATGACCAGGCCGTGGAGAATAAGGCGCCCCCGAGAGCGCCTGTGAGGCTCCACAGCTCCAAAGACAGAGTCTTCCACACTGTCTACGTAGTCCACATTGCTACCATTGCAGTCTGTTGAGTCCTGGTGCAGAGAAGTGCTGATGTGTTTGCCAGGCTCAGAGATCCGGCAGTGTTGGGGCCTCACAGACTGATCTTCTGATAACAGAGTCATAATTGAAAATGAGGGGGTAAAGGACAGAAGGAGAAAAAGAGAACAGAAAGGAAGTAAAGAGGAGATTTAGATGAAGAGAGGCAAAGAGGTAGCTTTTGGTAGTCTCTCTCCGTCTGCCAAGGGATGGATGAAATGCCAAAACTGGCGCTTGGCTTGAGTTAATCCTCTTCACTACTGCATAGCTGAGCAAAGAGTTCAAGCGCCACACAGCTTTATTTTGCATGTGAAGGTCTGAGCAAGACTCGGCGAGGAGGAGAGAAAGACAAGGGAGGAGGAAAAAGAAGGGAGTGTTTTAAAGAGATTACAGAATGGCTTTTCCTATTCTGTCTAGTAAAGGCCTCGGGCAGCTCATGGGGCTGAGTTAGTTTTGGCAATGGGTGGCACTACTGGCCACTAATGACTGGCCAGTAGTGTTTACTTTAAAACAAGTAAAGATGACTGAATTCACAAAGCTAAATTCATGTTTTTCTATCCAAACGTGAGCCGGCACACTAGTGTGCTGTACAACTGAAACAACAGCTAAAACAATATTTATCTGTTTAGGAGTGCAAGTAAATATTTGTAATGTGTGATCTTAATCCAAAAGTGTGCTTTACTGTTTTTTATCAGCATATTTGTAAAGCAATTAATTTGAACATTTGTGGACAACAACACTAATTATATTTTGGCATTAAAAATAATAAATTTGAATAAACAGCTTGTGCATACTGATGAATGAACGATTACAGAATGATTCTGGTCATTCGAAATACTGTTAAAAAATTAAATACTGTTAATTTATGGCAGCTATGATGTAAACCTAATTGTTGAAAATCTAATTTAGGGGATTAGTTTAATTGACTGATTTTTTTTATGCAACTCAAAACTGAATAAATGTCATTTTGTGCAGGTATTCAGTTTTTGGTTGGAGGCAGGGTAAGGAGAGGGGTGGTAATTGTACATTTAAGCAGCCTTCCTTTGTAACATTACCGGTTAACTCTTGCATTTTGGTTATATTTCATGCCTCCACAGTATTATTGCCTCTGTGTATGCCAAATTTTGAGCTACAGATCAATTTAGAATAAATAAACACAAAATGTATGACTTGACATCAATAAATGTCAAGTCATGGGGGTGGTTTTGAAACACTTGGAGAAAAAGGCCTATTATGATGTGATATCATGTGCTGTTTTACTTAAGACATAGCAGCCGTGATAAATAGATTTGATTTCTTAAATCTTCAATAAGGGTTTTTTGTATAACCATTACAATCATTAAACACTGTCCTCACTACTATATCATAAAAAAATCCCTATAACTGCAATCCATAAGTATCAATATTAATTTAGCACTAATGGCAGCTCAGGTGCTTTTGTATTATTTTGACCCCCTCCCCAAACCTCTTGATTTTGTTTTAATCTCAGTTCAATCATAGTTAGGTCAGAATAAGTTAACTCTCTTTTTTGTTAGTTTATTTTGTTACAATATTGTTACATTTTTCATCACCCCTGTTGCTTTCATATCTACTATTTTAAGGAACATCTCCTTTTTTCTTTACCATTTAGTTTCAGTTCCATCCCTGCTTTAATTTAAGGTTATATAAATCACTTCTTGTGTAAACATTATAAATAACAATTGGGAATTTTACTTTGTTGTGTGGATCCACGGTCTCTCTTACTGTCACCATCTCATCATGTGCTTATTGGAGCCAAGTTTTTATTGGTGTTGTAGTAAAGAAGAAAAAGGCTGATTGTCAAGCTCTTCAAGTGTGGATGACGACATTAGATATAGCAGAATGTCTTAGAATGCTGTGACCTCTAAATACTTGGCAGTTACAGTTACCTAAGGCTGCTACCTAAAGGGCAGTCTCAAAGTTAAGCGTCTTTCTCAAAATTAGCATCTTGTGTGTATCATCAGAGGATATGAACCAGGAGACACGCAGTTTGCATGCAAGTGACACACAAACCATCCTTTGTTCGTACTTCAACCATTCAGACTTCATCCTGAAAGTATATTTTCCAGCAGTTGTCCCCAGTATGTATAAGTCCCCATCTCTATAATAAAGGATTAATCTTTTAGGACAAATCAGTGCTAAGCAGCGTGACAGGACACCCTGGAGTGATGTACCACTTCCCAGAGGTCCAGTCCAGAATAAAATGCTAACAATTACATTAAATGAAGTTAGGAAATCCTGAGCTATTTATACTTGTTTCTTTTTTATGAGTTTAAATTCATTTGAAATAGTATTTCATGCCCCTTATCTCATCGCTGAACTTCTCTTGCAACATATTATATCATCAAGATTAAGCGGTTTCCAAACATCTTGAGTGATCAGAAGAAAAAAACCCAGCATAGCATTTGATTAACTAAACTGCTTGATTCAGATTTCTGTGAATTATTAGCATTTCCACGAAAAAGTCTTTCATGTGGTCTTAATCAAATCTCCATGACATCAAAACAGGCTCAGGAGAATTTACTTTGACCGCCTGTTTCTTTAATAGTCACCACTCCTTTAACCTAAAAACAAACAAATAAAAAAAAGGCGGTTTGGAAGCGCTGAACTCATATTGGTAGTCTTTAAAAGATTCATATAAAGGACAAGTGCCAGTTAAAATACGCGTCACGGGACAATGCTTTGAGCTAACAAGCTGACATTTATGTTTACCCAAGGATGCCATTTTAAGAGAACATTGTTTTTTCTCTAATTTACCCTCTAGACATAATAAAACATAGTTTAATTGTTGAGGTTGGAACAATTTACCCAGTGCAAAAAGACTTCCAGTCCTATGGAAGTATATGGGAAAACAGCTTTTTTCCTGATGTGTGATTAATTTTACAAAGAGACAAATATACCCTAGAGAGAAATTTCATGTTATTTTTTTTCCATAACTGTTTTAAACATTAACGTACCATCTCATAGTTGCCTCTTTACCGAGAGATCTTCGTGAAATGATGAAAGGATTTTCACTGTGCTACACACTGACATTCTCATTGTTAAATAAAGGCATAATTCAAGGCACCCGTCCATCTATCCTTCAGATCATTTGTCACTGTGCCAGGAAACATCAAAAATATATCAAACACATCTGGAACTTCTTACTGATGTTGTAGAGTTTGAATAAATTCCAAGCTTTTGATTTCATTCATGAATAATAATTTTTAGATTATTTTAGTTTGACTTTAGGGTAAAAATTGGCCGTGACCAAGAGTCACTGGGCTCCACACACCTATATACCTACTGTTTATATGCACTGTGTGACAAAATATTAATAAACATGGATCACGGAAAAAAAAAAAAAGCTTCAGGCAAATGTGTTATCCAGACTGAGGATAAGATATAATTCATCATTAATTTTCCATTAATTGGATTGGCAGTGAGCCTACAGGAAGCCATCTGAAAGGCTGGATTAAGGGTGTGATTAATGACCTGGCTGTGATGGCTTAATTACAGTCGTCACACGCTTGCCTGCATACACTCAAATGGTGAACCATGGCCTGAAATGTGCAAACTCTTTGCCGGCTGTGAATCCTGCAGTAGTGTGTTGGCCAGAATTGTGTTATATTTCCTCTCCTGTGTCTAAGAATAACAATGTCATCTTGTTAAGTTTATTCACCTTAAAAGTGGTCAGGGTCAAAGCTTCGGCTGCATGTGGTTATTTGGTGCTATTTTATAAAGTAAAAGTGTGGCTAGGCTATAACTGAAGCACTGCCAGTGTCATTCAGTAACATTTTGTTCAGACAGTTCAGGAAGACAGATGTAGGAGTAAATTTCTGCAATCTGTGAGCTTTAAGTACGACTGTGCCCTTTAACGAGGACCATCTATTTCATCTTGGGGGGGGGGGAAACATCCCCAAATTGATCAACAGCTTCACTACTACAAGGGTAAAACTTCAAAATTATGCTGATTGTGTTTAAAGTAAAAAAGCTCAAGGTGTCCGGGATATGTCCCAGTTAATAACAACCAATTATGAATTAGGATGAATATGCCTTTTTTTAAGTCAAGATAAGAACTAATTTAAAAGAAAGGGGGGGGGAGGGAGGGGGGGAAGGTTTTCTGTTGATGTAATAAATGTATGGAATAATACCAGTGATGACTTTAATTTAAGTGGCACAGTTTAAATATGTGTCAGTTAAGAAAACTACTTGATTTATTTCAAATGAATTTAATTGTGACATATTGTTTTCTGCATTGTCTGTTTCTGGCGGCTAAACATGGCATTATGTATGAGAGGTAGGCACAAATACGCTGTTGTTTCTGCCTACGTGCTTTCTGTCTGAAATATAGCTGCTCTTTTTTCCCCTCGATTTTGGAAAATACTCCTTGATGTGCTATAAGCAGACAGAAATAAAATGAATGGATGGAACAACCTTAGATGTATGGATAAGAGACACTTATAATAATTTTAAGATAATAAATCTCTTTAGCCCCATCACCAATTTCTCAAAGATTCTTTAATAACTTTCACCTAATCAACACTGTAATTACAGAGTAAGAGGTACTTTTATAATGATGAGTCAGTAAATACTGACAGCGGTGAATCTATAAGAGAATCTTTCTTGGAATCTGATGCATCTATGTGACCTTTATTTAAAAAGCCATGCTCGACAGCCTTTGAAAAATGGAGACAGGCTTTAAGACTTCAGGACCTCCACTGGACAAATGATGCACTCAGTGAACTGGTTTGCTTTAAATCAGCGGTCCCAACCTTTTTTGCGCTCACGAGACCGGTTTATGCCCGACAATATTTTCACGGACCGGCCTTTAAGGTGTCGCAGATAAATACAACAAAATAAAACTAGTACCGGTACCGAAAAAAAGAAGATTTATTCATAACACACGTGAAAAGACCCAGGAAAACCGAGTTAACGATAAAAACGATAACAAAATAACGCTGAAAACCGATAAAAACCCTGAAAACCATACATTTCACACCTGAGCCTCAACTCTCGCGGCCCGGTACCAAACGACTCACGGACCGGTACCGGTCCGAGGCCCGGGGGTTGGGGACCGCTGTTTAATGACTGCTGAAAACTAATTATGTCAGCATCTACTCAATCCTTTGTTTTACTATTTTTGGAAATATTTTCCATATGATGTATCTATAAAAGTCTATATGTGTGACTACTGGAACACGTACACTTATATATAATGTGTGGTTTCATTTAAACTCTGAAGCACTTTGTACCTCCGTGTTTTAAAAAAGTGCTATACAAATAAAGCTATTGTTAATGCAAAGGCTCCTCAAAGCACATGCTATGATGGACGACTCGTACAATAAACCATGAAATCACAAGGGGCTTGTGGTTGACTACAGAAGTACTTTCAGTTAATCAAGTGATGGTGCATGTGATCCCTTGGGGTAAAGGTGGGAGCAGTCAGATGTAGGAAGTGAGAAGAAAAAGGTCATTTTCATTTTCTAATGAATGCTGCTCCCGGCAGCTCCCTTATGCACACAAGGGGTCATCATGGCAAGCAGCTCCACATGTTTGATTTGACAGATTTGCATTTTTTATTTTTTTACACCAGATGCCCTTCTTGAGACAATGCCAAAGGGACTGGTTTCTCTTTGTGTGATCAAACTGGGGAGCTTTTGTTATTTTAGGTGAAAATGTAAACCACTACACTGGAGAATCCACTTTCTTTGAGACTGCTCTACATTGTGCATATGATATCACTTTATAGATTAGTTTGTGTTTGTCATGTTCATATTTAGAATAGACAACCAATATATCCCAATATTCAGCTTTATGAATGCTGAAGTGATACTTAATAAAAAAAGATTTAAAAAAAAAAAAGATCTAGCCTATTAGAAAAAGAGACAGATCCACAAAGTAAAGCGTCAAGACTTCTAAAGCGTCTGAAGTCTGAGGAACAGCTCAAAATGTTGCAAGGCAATTAAAATCCTTATTAGAGACTTATTTTTCCTCTTCTTTAACTTTGAAAACCCAAGTCTAAAGTTACCTTGCTAAACCCCATTCCTGCTTTATAGTAGAGACATCTGATGTAAGCACTATGGAGTCTGTGGGCATTAAAAGAACTGTAAGAGACATTCTAAATACAAAGCAGTTTTCACATTATAGTTGTGGTCAGAGCTGCAGATGCACTCATCATGGGCATAAATGTCACGGTAATTTTGAGCTTTTAATGGTAAATGGTAAATGGCCTGTATTTGTATAGCGCTTTACTAGTCCCTAAGGACCCCAAAGGCGCCAAAATACTGCCGTAAAATAATAGAAAATAACTTTCCCATGAAAATACAGTTATTTTCAGTAATGAAAATACAGTTAGTTGCGCTAATTTTACATGGGATTTTGCCTTTTCCAAGTGCTTTTAGACAGTAAATTAGGAACATTTTAACATGATCAAACAATGAAATTACTTATAAACAAGGTCAATGAATGTGGCAATATGAATCATAATACGTAAATGTACAGAAATATACAGTTAACAGTTGGTTTAAATACTAATGGATTACATGCCCTGGGACAGACTGACAGAGGCGAGGCTGCCATATCACACCATCAGCCCCTCTGGCCATCACCAGTAGGTGAAGAGTCTGGACCACGGACACAATACGAGAGTGTCCGAGCCGGGGCTTGAACCGGCAACCTCTGATCACAAGGCGAACTGCCAACTCTTGAGCCACGATCGCCCTAAATAGCAACGATAATAATACTTATGTGATGTAACACAAGCTTATAGGAATCATGTTATATACTTTTCCATAGCATTACATTTGAATTCAACAGTTCGATCTTTCAAATAACGGACAGATATTTGTGAGATCATGATACATTTGTGAATGTATTTTAACAATCTAAATATGCATATGTACAGAAAATATATATTTAAAAAACAAGTAAATTGTGTTTTACTATATTTACAGTGATGTTATGTTATTTTACCTTTGACATGTAAAATCACAGTCTACTTATGTAAATTTCATGATATTCTAGAAAGACAGTACAAAACTGTAAAATATACAGTAAGATACTTTGACATTACTATTTTTTGGAACAGTGCTGTTGATATCAGGTGGAGCTAAAATTGGAGGTGTTTTTCCTTCATTGCTCCATCCAAATTGTGCAATGTACCAGTACTACTGGCAGCAAAACAGTCCCAGAGCATGATGCTACCACCACCATGCTTACAGTTGGTACAGTGTTCTTAGGTCTCACTTTCTTCTTCTAAACATATCTCTTGTCATTGTGACCAGATAACTCAATCTTTGTCTCGTCTGACCAAAACACTTTTCTTCAGAAAGCATTTGGCTAATCCACATGCTGAAAATTTTAATCAAGCTTGACGGTGTTGACTTCAGAGCAGGAGCTTTGTTCTTGGTCAGCACCCTCTCAGTCCATGGCGATGTAAAACTTGCTTCACTGTGGACAATGATGCTGGTTTTCCAGCAGTTTCATGGCAGGGTTAAGCTTTGGTGCTTCCTGGGTTGTGTACCTGTTGCCTTGTACTACACAATTTCCTTACATCTGAGGGTGACAGTTTATATAGATCAGTGACATAACTGAATAACTTGTATTTATTAGGGGTGCAACGATACACAAAATTCACGGTTCGGTTCGGTTCGATACTTTGGTGTCACGGTTCGATATTTTTTCGATACAAAAAAATGTTCATGCATTTTTAATTTGTCATTTATTAAAATTATAAATATATATTTTAACTCAAAAGTACAGTTTTTAAATTTAACCCTAACCCTTGTGCGTGTTTTTTATTTTGACAGCGAATGCGCACCTGCGGACCACTTATGTGCAGCCCTGGTTATTTAGCTCATCATATTGCAGCCACAGAAATTCTTTTGTCCATGAAACCATAAAGCTGCACTTTCTTTTTGCCTTATAGTCTGATTTGTCATAACTTCTCCGTTTTGTGGTAAGCTTTTCTTTGGCTGTCACTTCTTCACCCTGACCTGTCTTATTTGGCTCAGCAGAACTGAAATATATCTGCTGTTTACACACGCACTCACATAAGCTCAGCGATTCTCTGCGCGATCAACCTCTCACATGTTTAAGCTGCGGGAGATTTCACTTGTCATGTTTGCATAGTAAGCTAACGATTAATAAGACGATGTCAGAGGAATTGGTGCACAAATTATCATCACTCACAGATCAGTGCTGTCGCTCTCTATACACAGTTCGCACGATTGCAAAGTGAAAGCAAAAAAACAAGCGCAAATTCAAACGCGACTTCAATATGTCACATATTGACAGTGGCTCACCGATGCCAATGACATAATTACCCAGCTACATTTCTGAAAGAATGCAAAAGCATTGACATATATTTTTCCTTTACAATAGCCCGACGGGCAGGGCAGAGATAGATTTTGGTAGCCCGACTGAAAAAATCGCTAGCTCCGGGACGTCGGGCTAGCGATATTGCAAGCCCTGTATCTGATTGAGGAATCACTCATCTTTGGAAAAGAGAGTTTATTACAGAGAAATGTCTCTTTCCAAAATAAAAGCTATACTATCCGCTTCTTCTGGGCTATATTCTCAGCAGCATAAGGAGAATCATGTGCTAACAGCTGTCTAAATGACTCGGCTAAAGTTAGTAGCATGCTTGCTTTTTTTTGTCTGCTTCCACTTGTCTTTGCACTAGGATGATGTCGGCGTAAATGTGCAGTCATATTCGTTGTGTTCCCACTAGTGCTTTCAGGTTAATCTCGTTGAAATGACCTTAACGCCACAACACGGCAAATCTCCGTTAACGAGCTACCGCCGATCGCTCCGTGCATGGGGCTAGACGGCCAACACGTTAACGAGCTAACTGCGCTAACACACTAGTTCACACCAATGTAATTGAGCATTGCATGGCACATCCAACATACTGTTTTACTTTAGTCCATGACTCGCTTACCTTCAGGGTCATACGTCACATGAAAACCAAAATAATTCCAAACGCCAGATCTGAATGAGTTGAATGTTGCAAGGAGAGCTTAACTTCTGTCTCGCTAGCTTGCCCTGCGCTCTTCCTTCTGACTATGCTGTCTGTGTTGAGCGCTCAGTGGATCTGCGCTCGACAGTGCAGCCTAGGCGGAGTAGTCGAACGCAGATTCACTGAGCGCTCAACACAGACAGCATCGTCAGAAGGAAAATTGATAAAATAAATTACAAATGTTGTATTGTTCGATACATATGCGTACCGAACCGAAAGCACTGTATCGAACGGTTCAATATCGATACGAATATCGTTGCACCTAGTATTTATGTACAATTGTTTGCACTGGTGGCCTGCAGTTATGTAGAAATGGCTCCATTAAGCTTTTGGAACTGCCAAAGCCACGACATCAAGCCTACTGAAAATTTGTGGATTAAATTTTTGACATGTAAACAAATGTACTGACAACAACTGTACTTGGAACAGCTACAGCTCAAGCAAAGCATCCTCATAAAGCCTCCTCATAGCAGATCACTTGTTTTTCTCTGTACACTATAACAGCTATAGTTAAAAAATCACAGTATTATTTTTGAAGCCATTCTCGCTTTACATTATTCCTTAAAACTTCTGACAGTCGTTCACATGAAAGTGTGTTTAAAGGTAATCCCATGATGCAAGCTCACATTCAGTTGCCCTGTATTTGACCTGACATGATGAGAGTCAGATGTTTCAAGTCACAACGCAGACATTCCTCACATTCTTACATGTCTCAAGGTCTTACACTGCAGCACAATGTGTAACAGTAAATGCAGGAACAAGTAAAAAGTGACCAGGTAAACAAAGCTGGCAACTCTGCTATTGCTAGATGGAGGGAAACACTCAGTTGTAAAGAGTCAAAGATGGTGTTAGCTTTACTGGGAAGTAGTGGGAATGTTGCCAGTCTATGACAGCCCACTGTGACCAAAGGTTTCTTAGTGTAGTGCTACATACTGAGGATATATAGATACTGTATACGTGGCTCAGGGAGGACTCCTAATTAGGGCATACTACAATCAGTTTATATTCCAGAAAGTTCATTATCATTTTAAAACTTTTTTTTTTTAATTTGATTTTGAATGCCACAAATTCCAGGTCATCATCATCTTAGAGGTAAACATTTCAGCTCCCTGTCTACGAAGAATAAAAAATGTCTGTCAATAAGGAGCAAATGAGAAATCTTGATTTCTGAAGGACTGACCTTAAATCTTTGCACACTTCTGCTCTCTCTCAATCAAATGACATTCGTCCTTGTTTACATGTATTCCCAACACAGCCAATTATTTTAAATATATGGTGAGTCATTAAAGCTTTGCTAGTTTTGCAGACATTAAAGCACACCGCTCGGCACACTGGGTCACTGTTACTTCTAGTACTTCCTGCTGTACTTCCCTGTTCTGTCTTTAAAGGATGCGATCACAGTGGAATGATATATACTGTACAGACAGATGTGTTGCAATACTCCAGGGAAGAGGAATATGTTTGCATTTTAAAAAGGCATTGTGGGGGTGTTTGCCAACTTTCGATGAAGTCGGGGGGGGGAAAAAAAGACTGATTTACTTCAGGAGCAAAATCATTCAAATCTTTAGCAGCACCAGTGGGCTGCAGTGAAGCGATGCAAATATGCAGCAAGATGACTAAATAACTTGTGATGTACAAAATGTTACAGATGAGAAAAGAAATGAAAGCTCCTAAAGAATGCAATATCTCCTGTGAGGATTTCCTTACCCTCCTGTATGTGTATTTTAAAATTTTCAGCTTCTTAGGAAATACTTTAGGGAGCCATCTGTAATAAGACTGTAATATACGCACACCTACGCTATTTTTCTTTTACGTTTTAGACTGTTGTGAAACTATGTTTATGTTTCATTTATGTTTTCAATCCTCTGGAAACTCGTTAGCACTTTTAATATGCACGACTAACAACATCTATGAGTGATTGCAAGTATTTATGAATACGTAGGGAGGAAAGTATCTCATTTGCACATCTTTTCTTTGCTTCACCATCTTCTCTGCTGAGCAGATTGGGGCTCTAAAATTTAAATTTAAAGGTCTGTATTTATTAGTAGTGGGCTTTAAATAAATATTTAATAATATTTCTGAGATGTTACTGACTGTCTCGAGGCATACTAAACATAACTATGGTAATTTCTCATGTTCTTCCACATCATTTGTATTTAGGTAATGCAGTTTACTTGTTCTCTTCACATAACTACAAGGTTAGTCAATCAATCATACATACATAGTAAATGGTAAATGCCTGCATTTGTATAGCGCTTTTCTAGTCCCTAAGGACCCCAAAGCGCTTCACACTACATTCAGTCATTCACCCATTCACACACACATTCACACACTGGAGATGGCAAGCTACATTGTAGCCACAGCTGCCCTGGGGCGCACTGACAGAGGGAGGCTGCCGGACACTGGCGCCACCGGGCCCTCTGACATAGATGCATGCATGCATCTATGTAAATCTTATCCAACATAGGGTCACAGAGGGGGTTGGGCCAGCTGGCATGGACACATTGGTATTTAAATGATGCTCAGTTGCTTCAGGGGTCCAGTGTGTCAAGAAAATATTCCCCACACCATTACACCGCCACAACGATGAACCATTGATACAAAGCAGAATTGTTTTTTACATCAATTTCTGACCATTTCCTGCAATTCGAGACTCATTGGAGCATGCAATGCGTTATCATTCTTTCACTGTCAAATTGCAGCCTTTTTCCTGTTCTTATCTAACAGGAACAGCACCCGGTGTGGTCTTCTGCTGCTGTAGCCCATCAGTTTCAAGATCTGAGGTGTTGTGAATTCACAAATGCTCTTCAGCATACACTGACTGCAATGAATGGTTATTCTAATCGGGGCTCTGGCATCAACCAAACATTTTCACCCAAATAACTGCCATTCAGGGGATATTTTCTCTTTTTAGGACCATTACCTTTGAACTTTAGAGAGGGCTGAGCAGGCAGCCAGCCTGCCGGGTCAGCCATTTCTGAAATATCAACATCTGTGCCCTGTTTAAAATCACTTAAATCAGCTTCCATCTCCATTCTGATGCTCAGTTTGAACTTCAGCAGGTGAGTGGCTAATTGGATTAGGATTAACAAGCAGCTGAACATGTATACCCAATGAGCTACTGAGTAATTTCTTTAGTCAATCTGAATCATCTTCAGAGCCTCCTAACTTGAGCTTGCAGAGTTGCATTAGTAGCTTGCAACAGAGATATTGGTAAGTGACTTAAACTTCACTTACACGAAAAAGGACCAAGTTGCCTCCTGTCAACATAATCAATGCAGTAGTTTTACTTTCACTTTGTAGGCGTAACTTTTCCTGTCTCTGAAATGTCTACTGAATGTTAGACACAGGTCTCCATGTGGTTTTGAAAAGTTAAGCCCATGGAAGTCCCTCAGAACTTCATTCTTTCAATTAGCCAGCAGGGGGCAGCTCCTCTGGATATAAACAAGCCTAATGCTAATTGAAAACTTCAGTAAACAGTTTACCGATGAATCACGAACACTGGTTTCTGATCTCATTTAATACAGCTTGACATTCATCGTGTAAATTATGGCCTTCTTTAGAATAAAAAAACGCAGGGTGAGCTTTGAAACCCCAAGCCAACGTCTTGAAAAGATGATTTTAGTGGGTGACATCATGTCTGGCTACAACCATTTTTTCTAAACAATCTGTGTGTCAGAATTAGTGCACACAAATCAAAAGCTGTTGTGGGAGAGCAAAACAACAACAAAGTTTGATTAATTTAATGTTATTGGTACTGCTGAGCTTTCAGGAGATAACCAATCCTCTTTTGCTATGTATGACCATTGCTCACCCTGAGCTGGATAATTTAGCAGATATCAGTAGTTTATGATTAATAGAGTAGGTGTGCTTTGCAAAAAAAAAAATCCACTCACATATTCTGAGGACGTCTTGTCCAATCAAGACACATAGGCAGAAGTGAATTAGTAAAAATCTTTGTTTACTTTGCACACAGCAGCCTCCTGTGAAATCCTAGTTTATGAAAAGAAAATAACTTTCTTAGTTTCTCTTTTGATTTGTTCGCAGTTATGTTAGACATAATCTGAATGGCAGATCTTACTGTTAGTCACTCAAATGTGCTCTGCATGTAGCTTTACTTTATCCAAACCAGTTGTTTATTTCCAGTATGTCAATCACATGTTTAATTACTGATTCCTTCAAATCTTAAAAGGTGGTGCCACTGTGTGATTTTCAAACATTTATAACTTGACTGTTTTGATTGTTTGTTTACAGCTTTGCCTTCACAGCATTGCACTCTATGACTCCTGCTGACAGCATCTGGTTTATCTGTGGGGATGTGAAGCCGTACTCCTGTAGGACCTCAGCCGTGTGTTCTCCAGTAACGGGGTCGGAGGTGAGGCAAGGCTCAGCAGGAGTGCGAGACAGAACCGGGGCTGGTCGGGGGCTTTCTTCCCCACTGGAGTCCTTCATGAAAGAACCTCTTTCCCGGTTATGTGGGTGTGAGCTCACCTGGTCAAAAGACAACACAGGTGTAACACAAGCATCAGTCCCATCAAAAATCTCTGACCACTCCGCCTGGCTCTTTGAGGCAAAACGCTCTGTGAAGATTCGTCTGAGCTCTGGCCAATCATCAAAGCTCATCTGAGAAGGCAACTCTCCAGCATCCAACTCTAAGCCTAGAAAGAAAAAACAAAAAAACAAAACTTTTTATGACCCAAAAGTAATATCAAGTTAAATAAACTTCAGTATAACGAGCTGGTGCAGAAGCAGCCAACACTTTCATCTCAGTATGGGTTGCTGATCTTGCTGAAGGTCCAAGTTGGCCACACGATGTAATCATTTTAACCACTCGTTACTGCTCTACTAAATAATGAATAATGACTCCATGTGCAGGATCTAAGCACTGACTTTAATATAGCAGTTTTTTTCTGTAATTTCTTATGCACAATTTCTCTTTCAGCCAAATACGACAGACAGGAGTGATCAGCAGCGCAGTATTTTCATATAATGAATACATAAACGGTATACATATATAATATATATATATATATATATATAGTATATATATATATATAACTATATATATATATATATATACTATATATATGTATAAATTTAGTAAAGCTAATATATATAAAAGGTAACTCTATTTATAACAGTGAATACAATCATTACTGTTACTGTGAGTAGAAAACTGAAATCGATACTGTCAGTTTTACTGTGTGGAGGCGTGGGGCAGTGAACTCAAGGGGGCTGGAGGGACATGCAGTGATTTGACTAAGGAGGTTTCTCCCTTTATACATAGTGAAGCCAGAGACCAGAGGAAGAGTGTGTGCTGTGCTGCCAACTGGCTGAAAAGTCAAGAAGCAGGTACCAAAATGTACAGCCATTTATGTGTCGCTTAAAAAAACCCTCCCAAGCATAAAACATCACAGACTGTCAGGTCAATCTCTACAGTGGTGCCAAAACCAAGCTGGTATGTCGGACCCACAAGCCATGCCCAGCCATTGCAAATTTTGGCGCAGATACTGGCTGAGATGAACCATGATCAGGTGGTCACTCATTTGGAGTAGCTGGAGAAGCTACAAGATCAGGTGGAAGGGCAAACTCAGGTCCTGGAGCAGCTGGTCGGGGCTGCAACGTTGCCGCCCCCTCCTCCACTGTTGGTGGAAATGCATGGATGGGGGGCCGTGACGACCCTCAGGTCTTCCTGGAAACGTTCCAGGCCACGGCAGAGACATGGCAGTGGCGGAGTGGGGGCGCCGCGGCTGAGTCTGGCGCTGACCTCGCGCGGCAGCTTCACTGACATCTGCTGGGAAGTGCCGGACCGATTGGGCCTGGAGGCTGACTGGGGAGGACCATCCGTTTGTGTGGGCCCGGAAACTGCACAACGTGGTGGCACGGTGAATGCGGGGTCCTGGAAGTGCGGGTCCTTAGAATGAGGTCCCGCCACCTCTGGAAATTCTTCCCACGGGACATTTCCCACTGGGGCAGTTTCGTGATGACAAACTACTCTCAGGCATTGACCTAGAAATTGATGGTGACGTGCTGCACCCTGAAGCCGTGCAGACCTACCAACGCTTCATATTACTGAGAGATAAGAGGCGACTCGTCATTCTTTTTTGGCCATTTTTAGAGAAATGTTGCGCCACATAATACTGACCTATGAATCACCCAAGCCTCAAAAAGGCACCTAACTCAGGGGATGACAGTTTGACAGGCCTTCAATAGCTTTTGCACCATTGAGCCATTAGCTGAAAACTTGACACATGTGCATGATGTACATTATGTAAAAAATATTGAGGAAACTGGACAGGTGGATAGGGAAAAAAAGTGACAGGACCAAAAAACTCTGCAGCAGATGAGCAGTATCTGAAAGTCACGTCCTTATGAAAAAGGCAAAAAAAAAATCCACACCTGACACAGAAGCTGAGAGATGCATCTGGCCCTTCAGTTGATTCATCCACTGAAGCCTCATCAGAACTAGTCTCAGTGGAAGCGTGGCTCTAAAAACGCTGTTGTTGAGGAAGGCAAACAGGGAGAGAAGGCTGAGGTATGCTAAATTTTCTGTTTCTGCCTGCATTTCCGCCAGTGGTGTTGGGCATGTTTTCAAAACCGATGGAATTATGAAAGTAGAAAACTACTGTCCGATTTTGATCCCCCATGTGATTCCACCTGGAAAGCATCTGATTGGCAACGGCTTCATTTTTCAGCATCAAAACACACTGTCAATGCAGTAAAAGAATACCTGGATAGAAAGAACCCAGACCTCAAGATTACTGAAAGAGTTATCACTGAAAAAGATATTACTGAAAGATCATCTTGACAGAGAACAAAACAAAAAGTAGCCATGTTTCCTATTGTTTCCTATTGTTGATTCG